TTGACATTACAAACATCCTCTTGATATGATGCACGTCTTGACATTTACAAACATCCTCTTGATATGAACGTCTTGACATTACAAACATCCTCTTGATATGATGCACGTCTTGACATTACAAACATCCTCTTGATATGATGCACGTCTTGACATTACAAACAGGTCTTGACATTACAAACATCCTCTTGATATGATGCACGTCTTGACATTACAAACATCCTCTTGATATGATGCACGTCTTGACATTACAAACATCCTCTTGATATGATGCACGTCTTGACATTACAAACATCCTCTTGATATGATGCACGTCTTGACATTACAAACATCCTCTTGATATGATGCACGTCTTGACATTACAAATATGATCACTCTTGACATTGATATGATGCACGTCTTGACATTACAAACATCCTCTTGATATGATGCACGTCTTGACATTACAAACATCCTCTTGATATGATGCACGTCTTGACATTACAAACATCCTCTTGATATGATGCACGTCTTGACATTACAAACATCCTCTTGATATGATGCACGTCTTGACATTACAAACATCCTCTTGATATGATGCACGTCTTGACATTACAAACATCCTCTTGATATGATGCACGTCATTGACATTACAAACATCCTCTTGATATGATGCACGTCTTGACATTACAAACATCCTCTTGATATGATGCACGTCTTGACATTACAAACATCCTCTTGATATGATGCACGTCTTGACATTACAAACATCCTCTTGATATGATGCACGTTTTGACATTACAAACAGGTCTTAACATTACAAACATCCTCTTGATATGATGCACGTCTTGACATTACAAACATCCTCTTGATATGATGCACGTCTTGACATTACAAACATCCTCTTGATATGATGCACGTCTTGACATTTACAAACATCCTCTTGATATGATGCACGTCTTGACATTACAAACATCCTCTTGATATGATGCACGTCTTGACATTACAAACATCCTTGATATGATGCACGTCTTGTCAAACATCCACGTCTTGACATTACAAACATGATATGATGCACGTCTCTTGACATTACAAACATCCTCTTGATATGATGCACGTCTTGACATTACAAACATCCTCTTGATATGATGCACGTCTTGACATTACAAACATCCTCTTGATATGATGCACGTCTTGACATTACAAACATCCTCTTGATATGATGCACGTCTTGACATTACAAACATCCTCTTGATATGATGCACGTCTTGACATTACAATGATGCATCCATCTCTCTTGATGATGATGCAGTCGTCTTGACATTACAAACATCCTGACATTTGATTCTTAACATTCTCTTGATATGATGCACGTCTTGACATTACAAACATCCTCTTGATATGATGCACGTCTTGACATTACAAACATCCTCTTGATATGATGCACGTCTTGACATTACAAACAGGTCTTGACATTACAAACATCCTCTTGATATGATGCACGTCTTGACATTACAAACATCCTCTTGATATGATGCACGTCTTGACATTACAAACAGGTCTTAACATTACAAACATCCTCTTGATATGATGCACGTCTTGACATTACAAACATCCTCTTGATATGATGCACGTCTTGACATTACAAACATCCTCTTGATATGATGCACGTCTTGACATTACAAACATCCTCTTGATATGATGCACGTCTTGACATTACAAACATCCTCTTGATATGATGCACGTCTTGACATTACAAACATCCTCTTGATATGATGCACGTCTTGACATTACAAACAGGTCTTGACATTACAAACATCCTCTTGATATGATGCACGTCTTGACATTACAAACATCCTCTTGATATGATGACATTACACGTCTTGACATTACAAACATCCTCTTGATATGATGCACGTCATTACAAACATCCTCTTGATATGATGCACGTCTTGACATTACAAACATCCTCTTGATATGATGCACGTCTTGACATTACAAACATCCTCTTGATATGATGCACGTATTGACATTACAAACATCCTCTTGATATGATGCACGTCTTGACATTACAAACATCCTCTTCTCTTGATATGATGCACGTCTTGACATTACAAACATCCTCTTGATATGATGCACGTCTTGACATTACAAACAGATCTTGATTACAAACATCCTCTTGATATGATGCACGTCTTGACATTACAAACATACTCTTGATATGATGCACGTCTTGACATTACAAATATCCTCTTGATATGATGCACGTCTTGACATTACAAACGCCCTCTTGATATGATGCACGTCCACACCTGCGGACATTGGTTTTCATTATCTAGTCAATGTCGGAGATACGCCTTGATATAACGTGAATATTGTTCACAGCGGCGTTACAATATTTTAAACTGACTCACTTACTCATATTTTTATTTCTAGTTTTTAAAGACGACAATGAGTTGATAAAAGCGGCAAAACTCGTTCCAAGTCCATAAAACATCCAATGTAGAGTTCTGACTACGTCATAAACATGTGTTATGAATAACTATCAGGTAAATCCTGTACTTTGCTGTGGCGATAGGGCAGCCTACTGGTTAAACCGCTCGCTTATTGTGTTAAGGTTTTTTTCCGTCGCTAATGTATTGTGTCACTCGCTTTGACGTTGTTGGAATATTGCTAAGAGCGGACCAAACCCATATTCATTGATTCACCTAGCGTTACACCATTTCTTACCCAGTTATCATTACGTTTGTAACCCTAGCCGTGTTATCCGTGCGTGAATACCAAGTGTCCTCATTATGAGACATCGGATATAGATGTCAAGGCGACCGTGATCAGTCTTGCCATGCGGCACAGGCAGACAAGGTGAATAGGAGCAGTTTGCATGCCAGACAATACTATCTTTGTGCTAACTCAAAACATAATTACATGATTAATAAAACATCTTTTTCAGTCTCCAAAGAGACTTGTCTAATTAACTAGATTGTTTTTACAAGTAGTCTGTTATCACGGTTATGTGATACACTGCAGATTTACAGTGCATGTTTGTGCCTCGATCGTTGTGGTATTGATTGCTTTGGAAATAATACCGTAATTTCAACAACCAGCATTTAAGGTGTGAAAATTACGCAAAACCCCGAGTTCCAAGAAAACAGCAGTTATGTAAACAAATCGATGATTTACAGTCCGGACAGCGGTTTGATCGTACCTGAGCTGATCGAACCATCCAGATCGACTCGGCGGGACTAAGGCGAACCAGTGCTGTAGAAGTATCTGGATTGCTTTTAGCACTCTCAACATCTGCATGTTATGGACTGGATCAGTTCATGAAGTTTGCGGGAAGGTAATCACATGTGTTTTTGCTCATTAATCATTGTCTCTCCTTATTGATTAAGGTTTGTTGTGTTATGCCTGACCAACTCGTCCATATTGTCCTCTGTTACTACACGCAAATATACACGGAGCCTTTTTATCATCTTGGCTCTCCTGATATTACCCTGAATATGGGAATTCCAGATTATATTAGATTACCCAATAGCTTTAACATTGCTGAGTGTGGTGTTAAACAACAAACAAGTGAGTGACTGGGTTTACTTTAACGCCTCTTATTATGACGGGGCACAACAGAAATGGGCTTCACACATTGTACCCATGTGAGAAATCGAACCCGGGCCTTTGACGTGACGAGAGAACGCTTTAACCACTAGGCTACCTCAGCGCCCCGAACAACAAACAAACAAAACCAAGCCAGCGAACCTCACCACTTGATCATGTAAGTCGCCTCTTACGACAATGATGGGTTACTATCAAATTCTAACCCAGATCTTCACGTGTCCGGTTTTGATATTGCGAGTCCACTTAGATACCAGGTACTACTTTTCAAGGCCTTTTGGTATGCATCGGTCAAGGGATGAGACCTTCCGCTCTCCGGGCTGACAAGACACTGGTGCGGTCCATAGGTACATGTATGTGGTATTGATAGAGACGCCGATGAAAGATTTTTTCCACAGGCGGATCCTGGCACGGCCAAACGGAGCAACTCTGCACAGCAACTAGCGACGCCTGAAGAAAGTGCGGTTTGAGGAAGATACGCCAGACATACGTCATTGAAATAGAGCTATAAAGGAATGTTACAGAAAATGTTAGTCTGCTGAAGGTGACGTTCTATCTTTCAACATCCCGCTGTCCTTGACCTTTGCGATGCCTCTGTTCAGGGTCACCGTGATAGGAGGCAGCTGGTATGACCGCCACAGGTACCGACTATCGCTGTCTAATGGATATGAACCACAGAGGGACGGCATTTTTTCCATGCATATTATTACTGTGTCAATGTCAAACCTGAGCATCACGCCAGATTTTCTACGAACAGTCAGCTAAAGTGGAATATGGTGTTAAAATCAGCGTTAAACCAACTCACTCACTCGATATCATTCATCCCAATGTTAAACTGCTGCAATCTAGCAGCGTAACACACACGCAGACCTCCCAAAACGCAGACCCGTTAAAACAACACTTGTTATGATTGGTTGCATCCGTGGTTAGTAGGCTGTACCCTTGATTAAGAAAAATGGTATCACCCATGTAACGAGTTTTGACAATGTAGCAAGTGATCCTTTATTTCATCAATATTTATGTAATCTGGTGCAATTTAGATATCATTTGTGAATATCAGGCCCAGTGCGTTCAGGGTAAACCATTCTACAACGGACCACATTTTTACACTTCAGGCTATCGTACAGAAATATTCATGTAAAGACAGAGTAGATTGTATTGTCTTTTTATCAACTTTTCAAAAGTTTACACTTAAACATAATATGCTTATAGATTCTCTTCGTAAGGTTAGATTAGAAGGAAAGTTTTTAGATATTATCACCTGTATGTAACAGATACATGCGCATTGCTGTATAATAGCAATGGCCTTGAACGTAGCGACAAACCCATTTCACCTTATCTCATCAATACAGGTTGCCACACATAACACAGCGCGATACAGGTTTTGTACATTCGGCAATAAGATCATTCAGCGACAAAACCGCCCTCAACAGATTCCCGAGGAACTAGTGTTTCCACACACGCGATCCGATCTACAATACGCACGTTACGCGATGTTATAAAGGGGTTTTCGATAACGTTTTCGCGCCGACAGCAGTGAATGATAGAGCGCGTTTTAAACAGGCCACGTCAAAATATTACGAGAACAGAAACATAGCTTTGCCTTTCAATTTGCACTGGCAGAAAGTGTTCAATGCAGGTAGGTAAAAGTTACGTACACATCTTTCATGGATTTTAAACGTTTCTACATTTCTTGTTCAATATTAGTATTATTATTAGAACTAGCATCAGCAGTAGTACTAGTACTAGCATTAGTACTAGCATCAGCAGTAGTACTAGTACTAGTACTAGCATCAGCAGTAGTACTAGCATTAGTACTAGCATTAGAACTAGCATCAGCAGTAGTACTAGTACTAGTACTAGCATTAGAACTAGCATTAGCAGTAGTATAAGTACTAGTATTAGTCGTAAGTCCCAGTACATTCATAGTAAATTTAAACCTACTACTACTTTAATCGTAATATATATGTTATTGTAATGTATGGCTAGATTTATCTAAATTGCTAACAGCTGAAGGGATGGTGTAAATCCAGCTAGGGTCCATGCAGAAAGCAAAACTACTGTTTACAAGTCCCCATGGTCACTGGCATGGTGATCTACCTTCAGTTGTTAGCAATATATAGCCTGTTTTTATATTGTCTTGTCATCTATAGTTAATGTTTCTAGTGTTAATTGCTATATTTAAATTGAAATCTGTGATGAACTAGTTGTTTTATTGTCCTTCGTTGACAGGTGTTGATAATTTATTTTAATCATTATAAATCTATAACTTGTTTGAGTCACGATATGGCAGAAATATTGCCGATGTGACTTAATATCTTAACTCACTCACTAGTATTATTATAAGTATTAATACTAGTATTAGTATTAGTATCGGTACTAGTACTAGTACCAGTATTAGTATTAGGTAAAATCATCAACAACACATCGGACAGCTAGAACTAACACAAGGTAAAGTCAACAACACATCGGGCAGCTAGAACTAACACAAGGTAAAGTCATCAACAACACATTGGGCAGCTAGAACTAACACAAGGTAAAGTCATCAACAACACATTGGGCAGCTAGAACTAACACAAGGTAAAGTCATCAACAACACATTCGGCAGCTAGAACTAACACAAGGTAAAGTCATCAACAACACATTCGGCAGCTAGAACTAACACAAGGTAAAGTCATCAACAACACATTGGACAGCTAGAACTAACACAAGGTAAAGTGGGCAGCTAAAACTAACACAATGTAAAGTCATCAACAACACATTGGGCAGCTAAAACTAACACAATGTAAAGTCATCAACAACACATTGGGCAGCTAGAACTAACACAATGTAAAGTCATCAACAACACACTGGGCAGCTAGAACTAACACAATGTAAAGTCATCAACAACACATTGGGCAGCTAGAACTAACACAATGTAAAGTCATCAACAACACATTGGACAGCTAGAACTAACACAAGGTAAAGTCATCAACAACATATTGGGCAGCTAGAACTAACACAAGGTAAATCATCAACAACACATTGGGCAGCTAGAACTAACACAAGGTAAATCATCAACAACACATTGGGCAGCTAAAACAAACACAAGGTAAAGTCATCAACAACACATTGGGCAGCTAAAACTAACACAATGTAAAGTCATCAACAACACATTGGACAGCTAAAACTAACACAATGTAAAGTCATCAACAACACATTGGGCAGCTAAAACTAACACAATGTAAAGTCATCAACAACACATTGGGCAGCTAGAACTAACACAATGTAAAGTCATCAACAACACATTGGGCAGCTAGAACTAACACAAGGTAAAGTCATCAACAACACATTGGGCAGCTAGAACTAACACAAGGTAAAGTCATCAACAACACATTCGGCAGCTAGAACTAACACAAGGTAAAGTCATCAACAACACATTGGACAGCTAGAACTAACACAAGGTAAAGTAATCAACAACACATTGGGCAGCTAGAACTAACACAAGGTAAATCATCAACAACACATTGGGCAGCTAGAACTAACACAAGGTAAATCATCAACAACACATTGGACAGCTAAAACAAACACAATGTAAAGTCATCAACAACACATTGGGCAGCTAGAACTAACACAATGTAAAGTCATCAACAACACATTGGGCAGCTAAAACTAACACAATGTAAAGTCATCAACAACACATTGGGCAGCTAAAACTAACACAATGTAAAGTCATCAACAACACACTGGGCAGCTAGAACTAACACAATGTAAAGTCATCAACAACACATTGGGCAGCTAGAACTAACACAAGGTAAAGTCATCAACAACACATTGGGCAGCTAGAACTAACACAAGGTAAAGTCATCAACAACACATTGGGCAGCTAGAACTAACACAAGGTAAAGTCATCAACAACACATTCGGCAGCTAGAACTAACACAAGGTAAAGTCATCAACAACACATTGGGCAGCTAGAACTAACACAAGGTAAAGTCATCAACAACACATTGGGCAGCTAAAACTAACACAATGTAAAGTCATCAACAACACACTGGGCAGCTAGAACTAACACAAGGTAAAGTCATCAACAACATATTGGGCAGCTAGAACTAACACAAGGTAAATCATCAACAACACATTGGGCAGCTAGAACTAACACAAGGTAAATCATCAACAACACATTGGGCAGCTAAAACAAACACAATGTAAAGTCATCAACAACACATTGGATAGCTTCAACTAACACAAGGTCGAGTTATCAACAACACATTGGGCAGCTAGAACTAACACAAGGTAAAATCATCAACAACATATTGGGCAGCTAGAACTAACACAAGGTAAAGTCATCAACAACACTTTGGGCAGCTAGAACTAGCACAAGGTAAAGTCATCAACAACACATTCGGCAGCTAGAACTAACGCAAGGTAAAGTCATCAGCAATACATTGGGCAGCTAGAACTAACACAAGGTAAAGTAATCAACAACACTTTGGGCAGCTAGAACTAACAGAAGTTAAAGTCATCAACAACACATTGGACAGTTATAACCAACAACAGGTAAAGTTACCAACAACACAACTGGTAGCTAACAACAACACCAGTTGAACTGCCAACACCCTGCATAGTCAAAAACAACATAATGAATAGCTAATGCCAACAAACACCGTCGCACAACACAAATGTAGAGCTAACACAAACATCTGTCAACAACACAATGGAAAGCAACATTCGTTAACATTTGTTTTTTTAAGCGTGTGCACACTTCACATCAATGCATTTAGAACGCATGCAAAGTCGTTCATGCATAATGTAGATCCACATTGTGCACAATGTGCAAAGCTTGTGAAGATTATACAGACTGTGTAAACCAAATACCTTTACAATGTAATTCCATATGACTGTCATTATCGCGATTTGAGTTACTGAACCCGTGGTATGACTTTGTATTTAACGCCTTACATGTTCTTCAGCCTTTTAACGGAATGTCGGGCCCTGACTTGAGCTGGTCACACAAATTTACTGTCATGCTTGCGACTAATGGTGTACACGTTACTCCGTTGCCAGATTAGATATGGATTTACAATTCAAAAGTTCATAAATGTCAATTTAACCACAGAAATGGATTGACGGTGTTGGCAACCAGAATAACGAAACTTATTGATTACAAAGTACAAAGCTAATCTCAGCAAACATTTCGCATAAAGCCATTTGAAAACATAAGTCGAACTTTACCGCGCGACTCAATCGGTAGTTGCCGGTACTTGGGCACTTTTAAGTACAATCTGTGATCTGTGTGCCAATGTACTTGGTGCGCAATACTCAAGGAAGTAAAAATCATATTATGACATCAAAACTCTTAAGTGCGAAATATTGCTTAGCTATTATTTTCTTCAGACTGACATACACTTGACAAACGTTGTGTGTGTGTATGTGGTTAGACCCATTTTTCTAAACTCTACGAAATCCAATATATCTTGTACCAAACGTGCACATTGATAACTTAAGTATATGCCAAATTTTGTTTGTTTGTTATTATAATTACTAGCTTTAAGGTATGTCCCCTGATATCCCCACAGTTGAGGCTTGTCAGGGTCCAAGCTATATCTAAACGTCTGGCGTTCAATACACAGATTCGAACTTCAAATATCCAGCTTGACTAACACGTACTTTTGAGTACAAGGTATATTAGGCACAAATAGAAACACATTTTTGAAAGACGCAATTAGGAATAATATTCTGGTCGTTATCAAACATACACGTGTGTACTTATTAACAGTCACGCATCATCTCCTATTGTAGTTCACAAATTAGTAAGTCACAATGAAACGGTTTATGTATTGGTGAAGCATCTATACAATAACGGCTGTGGTCGGATCTCGTTTACATTGACGGCTGCACTTGCTTTGTCCTGTGTAGGAGCGAGAAGGGTGTAGTGTTGGTTGTGGTAGTAAGATGTTTAATCAGAAGAGCATTGCTCTTGTTGTTTCTTCAGTCTTGTTACCGTTCAGGAAGGTGACAGACACTTTGAAAGACCGGTTCACGTGGTATCGTGATGCAGATATATTGCTGCCATCAGATGCAGAAATACAGACAAAGAAGCCTGTCATCTTGATGGCTAAACCAAATTCAGAAAAACTTTACTGCATGGGTTACGTTGAGAACGATCGCTTGCATATCCGTACAGCCAAGTCGATATCTTGCCGCATATCCCTTGCATATTCCTACAGAAAGTCGAAAGATTGCTCTCTCTATATATTTGCTTTATACAGGAAGATATATGCAAGAAGCAAAATTCGCCAGGTCAACACATAGTTATAGTATTGACGATCAGCTTCTGATCATATGCCGGCGGAATGTTAGTTGCAAAACATTTCGTCTTTTCAAAGTTTGGACTGTAATTAAGTGAATATTTCTGTAGCGAAAATTCTCAAGATCAAAACTGCAAGATGATTTTCACTTAAAGTTTGATATCTCAATGATATCGTAATCATGGGCAGCAACTCGGGTCATAAGTATTTCCACAAGATGGCCGCCGCAATAAGAGCGGTCACAAACGACATGGCGATCATAATGGTTTTATTGTCACAAACCAATGTTTAGGTACTTATCTGTAAACATTACAACTTGGTAATACACCCATTTACTCTCAAAACCTGTCGGATTCTTTTAGGTAGACTCTTAAGCTTGTACAAGGATTCGGTATAGGCAGGGGTAAAGGTGGACCAAACGTCTTGAACGACCCAGATCAAGTCATCCCGACAATGAATGTCGTGCACTCGTCGCTTAAAGGTCACATGCAACGTAAAACACAACTTTGCAGATTCTGATACCTTTCGGTATGGACATACCGAAACAAAGCGTCAAAAATGCAAATTCAACTTATAAAGTTGAAAAATAATGCGATGAAAAAAACCGCGCGAAATCGAAGTTCAAAGGTTTCACTAATTTTCCCCAGACTTTTCTGGGGAAAACGGGTTTCAACAGCTGGGCTGCGCTCATAGCACGTGCGCAAGTAAATAGGTTCGCGCAGCTTGGAAGCGGGTTGTCGGGTGAATACTCTGTGAAGGCTTTGGTGTGAGCTATTTTTCTAATGTTTTGTTGATATCTCACAGGCGCGAGCTTTTTATATGTTATTACAGTAAATTAACTGTTTATATAATTTCATTTGTCTATTTCACCACACGTTCTTCTTACCGAGACACTTTCTCAGTTCGATACCTCAAAGCAATGTCATTATTTAGCGTTGACAGAATTTCTAACTGTGATATAGATATGTCGTTGTCACAGACAAAACTCAATGTCTTGTTTTATTGACACCTGTGTGTCTGCCTGCCTGTCTGCTAATGACAATAATCAATACACAGCTGCTATCACTGACCACATGCAATTTGAACTTAACACCAATCAGGCTATACACCATAAACAAAATGCATTGATTTATGGCCCGACTTCGGTCTCTGTCACATTATGTAATTACACAGACAGGCAGGTGTGATAATGAGCAATCAATCAATGTATTGGCGGTTAATCCTTTGAAGGAAGGACGTTGTTTTACAAAGAGACCAATGGGACTATACACCAATGTGAAAAACCTGAAACGATTATCGCATATTAGACTGTTAAAAGACACATGGCATTGGACAGGATACTTTGTCAGCTGCAGATGAATGGCATCTCATTCCTTTATGTGGATATTGTTCCCCGAACAAGGTAATAGTCTGATATTGTTTTTTATTATATTATGATATTGTCGGTTTTAATTTTAATATTTGCATTTTGTTTGTATTTATTTGTTATGACATTCAACAGAATCATTTTTTTTGCCGTGAAGTGTAATGAGACAGACAACATACACTAGGTCGCACTCAGGGCGCGTGTGCGAAATATGATACACGTTGGCAATCTATAAAATGTCTAGATATTACAATCATGTTATAAATTCACTAAGTATAAGCAGATTGTGTGCATTTCATAAAGTTTCAAAATGCATACCAATATGATATTAAACTAATTAGGATTATAAGACAAAATATAAAGATGTACATTGACTTCGTTATTTCAGTCCTAACATTTTTTACCACTGGCAGATGGTTAAACTTAAAATGTTTTCATTTGTTATAAAAATATTGCCATTAAATACAACATTCAGATTGACTAATAGTGAACCCAAGCTCACTACTCTCCCCAAGACTCCCTATGTAACTATATTATCCCTGTTTTAGTTATACATTTATATTATATTCACATGCATATAAGCCAAATGGCACTTTGTATTTATCAAAATATATGTATGTTCTCGATATCATTTTGTATGATTTATGAGCATATAAAATCCTGAATCCTGTTAGCCTTACTTTCAAAACAATGCTATTGTATCAGGCTTCTCACCAAATTCAAGGCCAAACTATTTCTTAAATCAAATTCTCCATCCACTTACGTTAACATTTTTATAAAGTCAACATTACTATGAAATCAAAATTATGCATCAAAATCAGCATTTTTATCAAAGTGAATAATTTTTTAGAAGAAACCAAATTATTCATCAAAGTCTACATAATTTTACAACAAAATCAGCATAAGATTATCGAGTAAAACAGATTTCATCTTTGTTGATCAGACTATACTTATACTATCAATAGCATGAGGATGGCGCAGCAGAGGTAACGAACCAGTGATGAATTCTGGGATATCATCCGGGTACTCACTGGAGAAAAACAATAACAAAGCAACAACCAGTCCACGGAAATTGCTCTGGATCAGTGGCCCTTTAACACGTTTGCATGCGTGAAGGAGATAAAAGTGTCGGGTGCAGCCAGTGATCACGTGATGTGTTCATTATCTCTCTGACATGTTGACCTGCCTGCTTGTCCTCAACTCGGGGAAGTCATTAATGTGTACATGTCGATAATGCAGTTTCGGTTTACGCACATTGACAAAGGAGTCTGTTTATTCTTTCGTGACTGTGGATGGCTTGCTCGGGGATCAAGTCGCCTGCCTGAAGAATGGATTATAGATCTCCATGGCGTGTAGACCTGCACATAGAAGCATTATACGTCATTATAGCCAAAAATGAAATATAGAGGATACTAAACGACCTTCCGTGTAATACCAATTTTATTAAATGAGTTAATGAATGTCTTCGGCGTGACGAGGTTACCCACAAGGTTACCCCACCGCCCCCCTCACGACAAGCCCTGGGTAGGAAACCTTACTTGCCTCCCATAATCTGCAGTCATACATCTTCGACTGCAAAAGAGTTGTGGAAACACATGCAATCAAGTAAATCGATTTATTGTTTGGATTAGCGCAAACGTCAGGGTCAATGTGGACATCTAATTCATCTGTCACACCACTTAAAGGCCTTATTAAACAAGCTGTATCACCAACGTATTCAAAGTCAGTAAAAATATTGCAGCACATTTACAAACTCAACTTCGTTAAAGAGTAGTACTATATATAATATATTTTTGTGTCATCTTGATTAATTATGCATAATTTATGCTCATATATCACCGTTGGTGGCTCAAATTGATGATAAGCTGACTGACTAAACTTCGACAAATCAAATACGTCATACGCTGACTGACCAAACTCCGACAAATAGGTGATAAGTATGGGTTTAAAGGCGACGGTGTACCTGTATGTACATGTAACGGCTGTTGACAGTCTAGATAATTTAAAAATAAAACGTTACTATAGATGCCTATGGTAACATTTGGTTCCGTGTAACCTGTAAACGCTCAGGATGTCAGTGCACGTGAACCATGAACGCGCTCCACTTTTCGCCGTTGAAACTCTGAACCCAGGATAGCGTAGCCTGTGCTGGGTCGTTACGAATAATATTGTTACCATCGAAACAATGGACAAAACATGCAATGATCATAAAGAAAAGAAAATTTACTTTCATTTAACCTCAACCATTGTAAACTTCATGGTCCAAGAGCTGTGGGGCGGTATGGAAAACTGCAACACAAGACAGAGACGGATTTACCGTTGGAAGGGACGGGGCGGGGGTTGAGGATTCATATTAATACATGTTTATCAATTTATAGTATTTTTATGTTCATTCCCATTAAAGTACACACGGATTCGTGAAAGTACATTAGAAAAAAACTCACATGCACACAAGATCCGGGTTAGAATTGATCTTCAGTAATCCATGCTTGTCTTAAGACGCATCGGGTGGTCAGGCTCGCTGACTTGGTTGACACATGTCATCGTATCCCAATTGCGTAGATGCTCATGCTGTTGATCACTGGATTGTCTGGTCCAGACTCGCTCATTTACAGACCGTCGCCATATTGCTGGAATATTGCTGAGTGCGACGTTAAACCACAACCAAACCAACCAATCATACGTACAAGCTCGCACGCTCTCACATACATATACGAACATACAATAAATATCCCACATACGTAAAATATAAACGATATGTAATCATAAGTGGCCCTAGTCGTCTTAGGCGCCGCCATACGTTGTGCTGAGTTGCGTTCTGTGGTCGTGTCTGCGTCCAATTGGCGTGGGTTCGAATCCTTGATTCTCCCTTAATTGTCCTGGTTTGTTAGCACCATTCATAGGTTAGTAGTTTCACCTGAGTCACTTTGGACTTTAACCACCTGCAAACTGGACTATGCGAATATGGGAGTTAAATCCACCATCATTATAGAGTTTCGTAATCCGGACTCAAATCTACCATCATATAATTGTCTTGAGAGTCAGATCGGTTCTGGGATTCAAACCCAACATACATGTTGTCTAAGGAGTCCGTTCAAACCTGGAACTCAAATCTGACTCGAGTTGAAAGCAAATAATCATGTTCTGATCATAAAAATGACGATGATGATGTAGATGCCTGTAGACGGGCCCCTGAACTAATGAAGAGCCTAATCACCCGAAACCTCTTTGCTGCAATTATTTATTATCAATATGTAAAAGAAAAATAATAACAATTTCAGATAGGGTAACTCCAACAGCCAGCAGCCAAGAACGCTAAATACAGAAAGAAGACAATCCAAACCATCAGCATGTGTGCAGCTCGGGTAAGTCACATCAACACATGGGGTCTGTTTCTTCACATGTTTTCAGCACTTAATATCAATAACGTCGATGTGTGATATGATATGCCGAGAATATAAACATTATTAACACACGGATTGTTATCATTTTTGGAACTATACAATGCATCGGCAAAGAATGTTCTTAAAGGTATCTTCATGGCAAGGAGCGTGAAAAAAATGAAATGATTAATCAGTATGTTTGGTTTCAATTTAGCATGATCCTGGCAGATTCGAGTTCGTGGCCAGGATGGGGCGGTTGACAATCGGGACTGATGAGGAGAATGAATCCACGAATAGGGTGCCCCTGTCCTTTATCATGCCAGTTCTACCTCCCAGACAGGTAAGTAGCTCTTCCAGGAACTCTGTTTTGACATAAATGGCAATAATCACTCATAATGTGGTGTCAAATCTGTTTTCGGAACAATAAGTGAAACTCACTTTTGGTGCGCCGCTTGATACTGCTGGAATATTGCTGCGTAAAACCATACCCACTGACTCACTAAACCGCTGTTCGATTCTGAACTGAAAGTTTTTGAGTTACTGAGATCTTGGTTGTATGTATTGCATTTGCACCAGCCTTAGGAACATCCAGGTGGTAAAGAAAATGTATGAACTATTGCTGTCCACAGCAATATTAAAGCTGATTATCAATGTATGAACTATTGCTGTCCTAACAGCCGTATTAAAGCTGATTATCAACGGACAATCTAGTGGTCGATATCGTGAGCAAGACCCCGTCACGATGATTGTCAAGCAAATGTCATCTGAAGTTAACTGTGAAAACATTACTTGGATTTCCTCGCAATGAACATCTCCATGGAAGTGGAGGATAAGACATTTATGCAAGAAGTAGGTGTGCCTGTATAATAAGTGTATTACCTGATTTGATGACTTCATAGTTGACTATATAAACGGATATTACTCGTGTATGTTACTAATAGAGCGTTGTATTCTCGTAAGGAAAAACTTGGGAGAAGTCTGCGTGCCTCTAAGACGGTGGATCTACCTGGCGACTACCAATGTGACGAAGATACAAACAGGCGGGTAAGTCTTTTCTCGTTGTACCTGCATACAACCTAACCCGTAACCAGCCATATAGGATTTTATTTATTTCTTTTCTTAGCGCTGCACCAAACTATCGTGTGTGAAACTGTCAAGTGATTGACATTATGAACATCTGTCATTGCAGTTAGGATATAGTGACGTAACCGTGCCTGATCCTTCGGTCCATTTAGGCTCACCTTGAGACAAGGTTAGGTTTATGGGTGTCTAGTTTATTACGCGGACTCAACGCAGTTTCCACCCGCCTACCCACTGACCCACCCACCGACCGATCAACAGACTCGGATGCAAGCGTCCTCGCTCTTTAACTATAATAGTTCAGGGCGAAAGTGTGTTTTATTACACTATACATGGTGGTAGAGCTAACTGTATTTCTTAAATCATTCCTTGTACTGGTGTATTCTGGTACAATCTGATATAGATCATATATTCAAGAATCATCCCAACCTAACGTACCCATATACCCATCTATCACAAGTAGAACCTGTTTACGTCTTTATTATAACACTACGTGATTTTATTTCGTAGGCAAACACATCGAGAACCGACACCCCCACGAGCGCTACCACAGTGAGTGATGCCTTTATGCTGTGTTTTACTCTCTTAATACTTACTCACTACCAAAACTAAATATCTAGTACAAAAAGAAAATTTAGTGTAGAAGTCTTCTCTGTGATGTGAAGGACTTCCTCATTGATGGCATATGTGTTAAATTTTAGAGATAAGATACTGAGGCTTGAGGTAGGTTTAACCATGGGCACAAATTGTCCTCCCGTTCCTGCTGCTTTGTTTCTTTATGCACATGAATTGCATTTTGATTGGCTCGGATTGGCAAACGTTTTACAAATGAATAAATTAATTCTCTCATATTGGTGATCTGATAATAATGGAATGATAATAAAAATATAAAATGGTTATACATTCAATTCCCTTCCACTAATTTACCTAATACGGTAGAACAAAAGAGTTCAATCGGGCAGGATCAAACAACGAGGGCAATGACTGTTTGAAAACAAACTGAGAAAAAGAAATGGCACGTAATAATTATTGGTATGTGTAAGCGCGTGCGTGCGTGTGTGGGTGTGTGCCTGAGAGCGTGTGGCACTGATCCCCATTTTTCACCAGTGAGTGAGTGAGTTAAGATTTTAAGTCACATCGGCAATATTTCAGCAATATCTTTCACCAAACGCCAGTCATTACATGATCATGAAGATGCCTACACTATGTCAGAGAGACAACAAAGTAGTTTGGAGGCTGAGTAATTTTACGTGGAAAAGGCTTCTATAATTTTTATAGGGGCTGCATTTTCGATAAAGCAGGCCGATAATGTTGTGTCCATATCTGATATATGAGTTCATCTGTCTGGAATATTTCACTTTAGTACATGGAAACATATCTTAAACTGCGAAGAATTCAGATTTCTTGCGAATTACGTTATATCATATTTTTATTTTAACTGTGATCCATGCCAATCTGGGGTGGAATTTATGCCTCAGTTGCCTGGATCAAATAAACCACTACTTTAAGTGAGTGAGTTAGTAATACGCCGCTTTTAGCAATAATCCAGTAATATCACGGCGAGGGACATCATAAATGGACTTCAATACATCGAACCCGTGTTTTCGGGGTGACGAGCGAACGTTTTAACCACTAGGCTACCCCCCGCCTCAATCGCTACATTGTCTAGGCCAAATTCGAATGTTTTACTGACCGCCGTTATATGGCTGGCATATTGCTGAGTGCGGTATTAAAAACCAACCAACAAAACAAACTAAACCAAAAACCCTTCGTGTGTTCCGTATCATATGTAAGGGAACACATGAAAGTAAAAGTGTTCCTGTATTCTTTTCCAGAATTTCACGCACTGTGCAATACAAACCTTGTGAAGAAACCGGGAAAAGAATAAAGGAACACTTGTACTTTTGGGAAAAAAATCGGTTCAAGTTGAAATTCAAGCTATGTAATGATATGCCTTTACCTAATGTGGTTATGTTACCCACATACCCATCTATCACAAGTAGAACCTGTTTACGTCTTTATTATAACACTACGTGATATTATTTCGTAGGCAAACATCGAGAACCGACTTCCCCACGAGCGCCACCACAGTGAGTGATGCCTTTATGTTGTGTTTTACTCTCTCAATACTCACTCACTACCAAAACTGAATATCTGGTACAAAAAGAAAATTTAGTGTAGAAGTCTTCTCTGTGATGTGAAGAACTTCCTCATTGATGGCATATGTGTTAAATTTTAGAGATAAGATACTGAGGCTTGAGGTAGGTTTAACCATGGGCACAAATTGTCATCCCGTTCCTGCTGCTTTGTTTTTTTGTGCACATGAATTGCATTTTGATTAGCTTGGATTGGCAAACGTTTTACAAATGAATAAATTAATTCTCTCATATTGGTGATCTGATAATAATGGAATGATAATAAAAATATGAAATGGTTATACATTCAATTCCCTTCCACTAATTTACCTAATACGGTAGAACAAAAGAGTTCAATCGGGCAGGAATCAAACAACGAGAGCAATGATTTTGACAGTTTGAGAACAAACTGAGAAAAAGAAATGGCACGTAATAAATATGGGTATGTGTAAGCGCGTGCGTGCGTGTGTGGGTGTGTGCCTGAGAGCGTGTGGCACTGATCCCTATTTTTCACCAGTGAGTGAGTGAGTTAAGATTTTAAGTCACATCGGCAATATTTCAGCAATATCTTTCACCAAACGCCAGTCATTCCATGATCATGAAGATGCCTACACTATGTCAGACAGACAACAAAGTAGTTTGGAAGCTGAGTAATTTTACGTGAAAAATACTTCTATAATTTTTATAGGGGCCGCATTTTCGATAAAGCAGGCCGATAATGTTGTGTCCATATCTGATATATGAGTTCATCTGTCTGGAATATTTCACTTTAGTACATGGAAACATATCTTAAACTGCGATGAATTCAGATTTCTTGCGAATTACGTTATATCATATTTATATTTTTACTGTGATCCATGCCAATCTGGGCCGGAATTTATGCCTCAGTTGCCTGGATCAAATAAACCACTACTTTAAGTGAGTGAGTTAGTAATACGCCGCTTTTAGCAATAATCCAGTAATATCACGGCGAGGGACATCATAAATGGACTTCAATACATCGAACCCGTGTCTTCGGGGTGACGAGCGAACGTTTTAACCACTAGGCTACCCCCCGCCTCAATCGCTACATTGTCTAGGCCAAATTCGAATGTTTTACTGACCGCCGTTATATGGCTGGCATATTGCTGAGTGCGGTATTAAAAACCAACCAACAAAACAAACTAAACCAAAAACCCTTCGTGTGTTCCGTATCATATGTAAGGGAACACATGAAAGTGAAAGTGTTCCTGTATTCTTTTCCAGAATTTCACGCACTGTGCAATACAAACCTTGTGAAGAAACCGGGAAAAGAATAAAGGAACACTTGTACTTTTGGAAAAAATATCGGTTCAAGTTGAAATTCAAGCTATGTATTGATATGCCTTTCCTAATGTGGTTATGTTACAGTTTCGTCGGCAAAGTAGTGAAGAAAGTCTGGAAAGAATATGTCAAAGTCGGAAGAAACAGGACCATGCAAGAAAGATCAAAGTACAAAATGTAGTGCCTTCTCCCACTTCGTCACAGCGTACAAGTAATGGCGCCTTGCCACAGAGTTCCCCTACTCCCCCAGAAACCAGCGATGTATCCTGAAGTCACGGTTAAGATATGGTTACATATATGTCTCATCATTGTAGCGATAATATGTACTGCAAAATAATTTCTATCAATATATATAAGAATTTTTCGTAATCACTAACGTATTTTGTTTAGTATATGATAGTCTGTAACATTATATCAAATACATCTATAATTATGCCCAATTATGTGTAGAACGTAGTATCAAGGTATCTGTTAGTCTCGAGTGTCCAGCTGGGGTGTGTATTTTGTCCTTCGTTGTTAAGTTTTTATTTTACAACTCTTCCTTCGACAGTGAAGTCGGTTTGGTACAAGGAATTAAAAATAACCCTGAATTACAGTTACTGATGTTTACAGATGAATCTGTGTTTATGTCTGACACAATATTTGGTCTTTTTGACGTGTTGGAAGTGTTTAAGAAAGACCATCAGTTTAAACAAAATAATTTATAGTTTCAAGTATGGTTGTGCGACACACAAAGAAATCAGCCCAGCAGATAAGTGCAGTGTTTTTCACTGAATTGTGCACTACGTGTTACAAGCATGAAATGTGGCATGATTGTAGCTTATTCCCTTCTTATCAAAGAAAGATCGAGAGGCCTTGCAGATTTTATATATATATATATTTTGTTTTTGGAGGGAAAAAATTGAAAAAGAATATATAAAATTACTATTTTCGTCATAACGTTTTCTAAACTTCTCCCATTCTCATAAATCATATACCAAATTGTAGGAAATTCACAGCTGATCATGTTTCAGCATACATACCTTTCTCTCTTTAACGGTTACGTCTACGATAGTCAATTTAATGGAAAAAAGGGGAAATTGACATATTTTTCAAAATGGCCGCCATAAAGACTACATCAGTAAAATAAGTATGAGATCATCCTGTGATCTAACTTTTTTATCATTTGTTAGCAAATTCTAAACGAGAAGCCTCGCAGATATTGGACATTTTTCTTTTTCTTTTTTTTGTTTTGGAAAGAAATTAATTTTCCGAAAACATTCATCTTAACTCACTTTTAAATTTCCAAATACTAATAAATTATGTATCATTGATATAGCGAGAACAAAAATATTATTAGATTTACTCATATGTATAATGTATGAACTTGATTGACTATGGATCACCTATAAAAACCACATCAAAACCAACGCAAACATGTTTGATTTGGCAATCATGCCAAATTTCATGCTTGTAACACGAAGTGCACAATTTGATGACTTATCCGCTGGGATAAATATGGTACACAGTTAGAAACTGTTTTTTCGCATATTTACATGTAGATGCTATTTTCTTAAAATATTTCGTATGCAGTAAACATGTAGCCAATACTTTTTCGGATGCTGATCAAGTTCTCTTGGATTTAATGCAATCTTTGATATATGTTTGAAAGAATCTATACATAGACCGAAATAATTATATGAATAACATTTGCCATCGCCTCTGTGATGGCTCATAAACATCCAGGATGGGACTCAACCCAACAACAGTACTAGAATCGGTACTTTACTGAGAAAGTGTAATCCCAAATATAACATGTGTTACATTTGACCACTTTCTAAATGGCATTGTGTAGCCATTTTAACATAAACTTAAAACATATTTTGTCGTTGCACCCTCAACCAAAGTTCCTATTAACCTAAAAACCACATGTACTAGGAAAAATTGTATGGAACCTTATAACAGAGCTGCGATCCATGTCTGGTATGTTTCGCATCTTTAAAACATTATTCAGCTTCAAACTGGTGACGAATGTACAAAAAGGACAAATACATTTAACCTTCAATGTTGCACTTAAAAGTACTAAACCTAATGACTTGTATTCGATATTTGAATCAGCCTGGTGATGGGGATATTAAACTTATACATAGAGAAAATATAAACGCTTTATTTGTCATTATGACTCTGGGCACAGGCTGGTGGTTTGCTTCAATTTCTTGTGCCAAGAAAAGATGTTGTTTGCAGATGGTAGTTTTGTTTAATAGAACGTCTGGTATATACTGCTGCCATCCTGAGCTTTTATTTTCCATTGCCTTGGTATAGTAGCTGGTTTCATGTCAGACCGCTGAGACGAGGCCTTGTAATGCCGTGAAAGGTTTGCCCGTTTTGTACCTGAGTGCCATCCTAGTATTAGCGCTGATGCATATTTTACAGGTAACTGAGAACCGTCTTCGTAACACTTTTAGAGATACATGTTTTGTATGTAACATTCCGCCATGAACGGTCAGTGTAACACTCTGCTAGAGATGCACGTTTTGTATGTAACATTCCGCTGTGAACGGCCATGATAACACTGTGATAGAGATGCACGTTTTGTATGTAACATTCCGCCATGAACGGTCATTGTAACACTGTGATAGAGATGTACGTTTGTATGTGACATTCCGCTGTGAATGGTCATAGTAACCCTGTGCTAGTGATACACATTTTGTATGTGACATTCCAGTATGAACGGTCATGGTAAAACTCTGATAGAGATGCACGTTTTGTATGTGACATTCCGCTGTGAATGGTCATAGTAACCCTGTGCTAGTGATACACGTTTTGTATGTGGCATTCCGCTGTGAACGGTCATGGTAACACTGTGATAGACATGCACGTTTTGTATGTAACATTCCGCTGTGAACGGTCATAGTAACACTGTGATAGAGATGCACATTTGTATGCAACATTGCGTTGTGAACGGTCATGGTAACACTGTGCTAGAAATGTTCGTTTTGTTTGTGACATTCCGCTGTGAACGGTCATAGTAACACTGTGATAGAGATGCACACTTGTATGCAACATTCCGTTGTGAACGGTCATGGTAACACTGTGATAGAGATGCACATTTGTATGCAACATTCCGTTGTGAACGGTCATGGTAACACTGTGATAGACATGCACGTTTTGTATGTAACATTCCGCTGTGAACGGTCATAGTAACACTGTGATAGAGATACACGTTTAGTATGTGACATTCCGCTGTGAATGGTCATAGTAACCCTGTGCTAGTGATACACGTTTTGTATGCAACATTCCGCTGTGAACGGTCATAGTAACACTGTGATAGTGACACACATTTTTATGTGACATTTCAAAATGAACGGTCATTGTAACACTGTGATAGAGATGCACATTTGTATGCAACATTCCGTTGCGAACGGTCATGGTAACACTGTGCTAGAGATGTACGTTTTGTTTGTGACATGCCGCTGTGAACGGTCATGGTAACACTGTGCTAGAGATGTACGTTTTGTTTGTGACATTCCGTTGTGAACGGTTATGGTAACACTGTGCTAGAGATGTACGTTTTGTTTGTGACATTCCGCTGTGAACGGTTATGGTAATATCTTATTGCTGGAATATTGCTAAAAGTGGCGTAAAACTACACTCACTTAGTGAAGTGTCAAAAGTTTTGAAAATATTTGACCAATAAATGGAAGCAGATTTATTATAAAATGCAAAGAAAGCAGGACTAAAACCCGTTTGATTTTAATATCAATATCCTATATCATATGATTACATGTACCTGTGTTTTTACTGCTTTGGATGTAATTTTTGTCACCTTTCTTAATTTTTTCTTAATTATACCAGATCAACGTATTCCATCTTTTCTAAGAATTTTTGGGGGAATTTTCTACATCTACTGAAGATATACGCACAAAGTTCCAGTCATCACAAAAGGAAATAGTTTCAATTTAAAGTTAATCATTCTTAAACAGATTTAAATTTACTGATTGATCAGTTACCGTCATTACATCTATAATTAACTTTTCTCCTAATTACCTTATTTTTGTAGATTTCGAGTCAATTATTAAATAGGATTTAAACTTTCTAAGAATTAGATTATTATTCATTTTAACCCCCATTCATGTTGTATCAATTAGCTTTCTTTTTCGGAAATGGGGATATCCTGTAGTCAATAAATAATATTTCCTTTATGTCCACATGTTGTCATTATGTCTTTACGTCTCTTTTTCAGCAAGTCTTTGCAGAAAATATGTATACTTATATCAATTATTGAAGAAAGAGAAAGAAAAAACGTTAATCTACATGTCACCCCTAGATTCCTGATTAATTTGGACAAATATGACTATGAAAAAGCATGCACATAACAGCGCTCTTAGAAATCCATCACATTGTTAGGCCACACAGCATGGCACATTTGTTTTTCATCCCAGCTTTGAGAGAGGGATATTAAACGAACAACTGGCATGTTTCTTGCTGATTTTTTTAAGAGTAAGAATTTCTGCTGGGATTAAATAAACAAGGGACTTTGGCCATGGAATTTACGTTAAGCTTTAGGTATATTGACGGTTTAATATCGAACATTAATGGTCAAATAGACTATTTCAATCCACTGATTTCAACCGGAATGAGAAGGAATGAGACCAGTATAACCACTCTTTTTTATACTGTGCTAATGGTTACACCATTTGCTGTCTCGGTAAATCTTTCAAAATGGTTCAACTCAACATCTTGAAGGACATGTCCGACTTAAAACACCAAACATGACGTCCGATGTCCCACTTTCATTTGAGTCATTTCTCCCCGTTTTGTTTCTAAAAGGCGACCCCCCTCACCGTTTCGCAAAACCTAATGTCACCTAACGGGTGAAAGCATTCGCTCGTCACGCCAAAGACCCGGGTTCGATTCCTCACGTGGGTTCAACGTGTGAGGCCCATGTCTGGTGTCCCCGGCGTGATATTGCTGGAATATTGCTAAAAGCGGTGTAAAACTAGATTCACTCACTCACTCAGTGATACCAGGTGTTCAAAGGCTGTACAAAAAAGTGTGACGGCAAAAAACACACCTACAATACAGTGTAAATTCAGTGATCATAGCAACAAAGGCAGAGGTGATAATAGTCACCTCGCTGCCTTGGCTGAGAATCCCAATCAAGGTTCAACTAAATGCAAACCAAACGGCAATTACCTAAATCGATGGTCATGCTGTTGATCACCGGATTGTCTGGTCCAGACTCAATTATTTACTGACAGCCGCCATATATATGGACTATTGGTCAGTGCGCCGTTAAGAACAGACAAAAACAAACGAAACGGCAAGGGAAATTGCTGTAAACTTTAACGATGCTGTTGGAGCAGAGGTTACGGGTCTCGGCTACATTCAGCTCATCTCAATGTTTTTCGGAAACGTGTTGTGCCTTCTCAAATCTTCATATTGCAAACAGATATCAGCGGCTGGGAAATCGGAATGGTTAACACAAAGTTGAAAGTAGGTAACCGTCATATTTTTAGGTGAATGTAACTGACTTCGCACTTCTTTCATGGGCGTGGTTGAGTCTTGCGACGTCCATATGAACGTCAAGTGAATGCCAGCCTGGAACATCTTGACGGTAAGTCGGATTCACACGGAATGCGAAGGTCATATTTCCTTGGCATCGTTCATAATGCATTAATTACAAATGCAAAGAGTTTAAAACTCCCCTTACATTGATTGTCTTTAAGTATTACACGCATAAGATGTACATTGAAGGGGACAAATGACAAATGACAAATTCAGCTGGGTAAAGCAATCCCAAATATAACCTATGTTACAGTTGACCAATTTTTTAATGGCATAGTGTATTCTGGCATATGCTTGTATGACATTGAGAGTCAAGGTCTAGGCGATCATAGAGTTCAAAACATCAAAACATGACTGAAATGTCGGGAAAGGTCGTTTTCTTTGTGTATTCATGAAACATCAAGGCACACTTTATGATGAGTTATAGAACCTGCTGTTAATTTGCCATTTTTGTCGTGGCCCGAATATTATTTGACAACAGTTACACAGTGGTCTGGTCTGGTCTGGTCTGGTCGTCTGGTCTGGTCTGGTTGAAACTGGTCTGGTCTGGTCTGGTTACTGGTCTGGTCTGGTCTGGATCGGTCTGGTCTGGAACCTCTGGTCTGGTCTGGTCTGGTCTGGTCTGGTCTGTCTGGTCTGGTCTGGTCTGGTCTGGTCTGGTCTGGTCTGGTGGTCTGGTCTGGTCTGGTCTGGTCTGGTCTGGTCTGGTCTGGTGTGGTCTGGTCTAATCGTCTGGTCTTTGGTCTGGAGTGGTCTGGTCTGGTCTGGTCTGGTCTGGTCGTCCATCGATTCATGTGGATTGTCTATACCAAAATCCTTATTTAAAGTCCACCACCATACAACTGAAATATTTGGCGTTAACTCTGATTCTCACAACGACGCATCAAGTTCTTCACGTCTTCATATGTAAAGTCGTACTCACAGCCACCGATGCTGTTAAACAACAATTTGTCTAGGTATGGTGGATGCCCTGGTGGATACTCTATTATCGGATATGCCATATCTTTAGCGTTGATGCCATTAAACATGGCGTAGCAAGCCTTTCGAGTACCCAACATTAATCGTCCTTTGATTTTGTCTATTACCACAACAAATCTATCAGAGACATAACTTCTCTTCATTGATTTCGTCCTCCGCGATTTGAAAGTAATGCATTTCTTGTCAACGACTACAGTGGCCAATGCCAGTCTGGTGGAAGCAACTTTCAAGGGGTCTGTAAAAGCAACTTTGAATGATAGAGGGTTTTTTAGTGACATTATCCTATCGATGTCTAAAGTCATCAGCCAGTAGTATATCTTCCTTTCTGCAAAACTTTTCATGCCAAAGGTTCCCATCAAACGTTTGAACAAACTTAATTGTTTGTCCAGAGGACAATTTGCTGACAAGTCATAATAAACAAAATCACGTTGTATTTTGGGCTGTAGTAATTGTACATCTGAAAAAGATTGAACAACAAATCATTGAAATAAAAAATACATACAATCAGAATGTTGTATGTATATTCTGACTCAGATAATAATGGAGTTAACAAACAAAGCCATTGGTGACAGAGGAACAATTAACGCCGAGTTTTTGCTCA